TCTCATTTCTCCAGAACTCATTCATGCAGATGGGTTGAAGTCTCATTGGGTCTGGAGGGATTTTGGGGGCTTGAAAATAATAACCATGTTTTTCTTGTTCACTTAGTGTATGTGTATGTTTTCATGTAGAAATTGTTGGAGTAGTGCAATACCATTTAATTTTTTAATGTTACATTGGTAAGATAATAAATTCCTCTTGAATTGTCTGCTCATCATCCATCTTTTTCAGCAGAGTAAAGGCAGTGGTGATTTCAGGAGGATTAAAGATTCTCCATGTTAATATGGGAAATCCAAGGCAATCATCAGCAACGAGTCTAATCTGTTGTTAGTGAAAATTAAGTTTCAGCTGGCTCTAATCCTCTTGTAACCGAATTTCCCCTTTCAGTTCCAGAAGCTCCTGACCGACCCACGATATCCACGGCATCGGAATCGTCCGTCTACGTTACGTGGATCCCCCGTGCCAACGGGGGCTCCCCCATCACTGCCTTCAAAGTGGAGTACAAACGTCTGGGTCGCAACAGCGACTGGCTCATCGCAGCTGGCAACATCTCTCCCTCCAAGCTGTCTGTGGAAGTTAGGAACTTGGAGCCAGGTATCAGAAATGATCCTTCATAACTGCAGCTCTTCAGTTTTTTTCGTTTTAACTTCTGCTTGGATTACCCTGTTTCTGCTCGATTAGGTTTGGGTTTTGTGTATGGCCTAGGAGCTCGTTACGTGAATTTAAGTTGATTTCTGGCTTTCCAAGTGGAAAAAAACCACACCATAATTTAATACTTGTTCATGTGGAGAGAAGGGTTGTGTATCACTGCTATTTTTAACTTAATTGTCCTTCTAGTGAGTACTCAGAATGTAGAGAAAAACGCATTAGTGGAAAAATGTCTGTCCTGACTTCTTCCAGTGTCTAGCCCTGAAAACTCGGGCAAAAAACACAAGAGAAAATGGAATGGATGGTGATAGGGATCCTTTGAGGCATCTTCTCAGTGCCCACCAGTTTAGGGATTTCCTGAGGTATCTCCAGTAGCCTTTGGATTTTCCTTGAGTAACTTCTAGAAGCTGTTTTTATCTCCACATCAGTCTGTGGCGAGGACTCCTCTAGTTTTCTAACTGGATGCTGTGCAAAAAGCACTTCCTAATCTGTTTAGTCTCTCTTTGAATCCTCTTTCCAGCGCTTGTTTTGCTACAAGGGCTTCTTTCTTTCCCCTCTTTCCCTTAAAAGGAGAAATGTACAGGTTCCGCGTGATCGCAGTGAACAACTACGGGGAGAGCCCGCGCAGCGCGGCGTCGCGCCCCTACCAGGTGGCCGGATTCAGCGGCCGCTTCTCCAGCCGGCCCATCGCCGGCCCGCACATCGCCTACACCGAGGCCATCAGCGACACCCAGATCATGCTCAAGTGGACGGTGGGTGCAGCACTTCTGTTCTTCCCTCAGCTTGTGTTCAAAGTCAAGGATTAAGAGCTGTTTGTGGAGTGGTGAGCGGGGATTTCCTCCCCCCACCTGGAGATGATCGTGTTCCTAGGACAGGGCTGAGGCACTTCATGGCCGCGTGGTAAAACTGGGGGACATAACGGGCCTTGTGCCTCTGGAGCGCACTGCCCCCATTTCCAGACTTTTTCTCACTCAGAGGCAGCCCTGTCAGTTGTCTGTTGGTTTTTGCACCATCTCCCAGCTTCCCTCCACCCCACTCCCCTTCCAGCTCCCCGGGGACCCCGCACACCCTCCTCGGGTTACGCCAGATGTGCCCAACTGGCAGCTCCAGTGAGAGGCTGCAGCCGCCCCAGTCCACCTGCTCTGGCACAGACATCTCAGAGGCACCAGTGGGCTTAACTCTGTCCCAGGCCCTGTTCATGCCATGAGTTGTGAGTGAGTTGGCTCCGTTTCCTGCAATTCCTGCTGCTTTTGTCAATCCAGGCTGGGGTGGCTGGGAGTGTGTTTCAAACCCGCCGTCTTCCCTCACTCCAGTGGAGGTTTCATGTTAGAGAAACATTTTCCTTTCCCCTGTTACCTCGTCTATTGTAAACAAGTACTTTAAAGTCCTTATTGAAACCCACAGAAATTCTTTGCTCTTGTTTTGAAATCTAACCCCCTGGTATACTTTGGAGGATTTAATGTGTAGAGTTCCCAGTGTTAGTTTGCTCTGCTAGCTCAGCCTTAAGAGATGTTAAGGATAATAAACTTAAAATAACCTCTGGTTCCTCAGGAGGCTGCATAACTTAAAGACTCTTGAGCTGATTTTTAGAGTGACCTTAACTATTTCTGAGGAGTTTTATGGTTTTAACTTTTCCATTTCCATTAATCGTGCAGATTTTCAGGCTGTGCATGGTCAAAGCCTAACTGAGGGTTTGGGAAGTGATGAGGGAGGCAAGTGTTGGCCCAAGCTCAGCCTCTTGTACCCATCCTACTCTCTGGCTACTCAGGGGAGTTCAGTCACCTTTGCTTACACAGCCTTATTAAAAATACTCATATTTGCAGAGGATGAGCTACTCGGTGATGACAACTCAGCAAGGACTCAGTTAAAACTTTTCTTCTCTCATGCAGTCTCTTAAAATTCTTTTGTAGTACATCACATCGAGCAACAACAACACGCCCATCCAAGGATTTTACATCTATTACCGGCCCACGGATAGCGACAACGACAGCGACTACAAGCGGGATATTGTGGACGGTACGGTGCCTGCTTGGAGAAGGGGAAGGACGTCCTGTAGCCATGTAGGCTGTGTTTATATGAAATCTAAACTGCTTTTCCCAAGCAGTCTCTATAATATATCTCACAGAAGGAGCTATCTCCTTCTAACCCCTAACGTCGGGTTTTGCCCACACGTGAGCTGGTTTCTTCCCTCTGAAGCCTCTTTGACATAGAAGCTTGAGAGCTAAATACAGGGTTTAAGTTTGGCTTGTTATACAGCTGCAAATCCTTAATGAAGGGCTATTTAAACTGGTGTAGCTTCAAGTTGTATAAAGAGAAAGCAGTGTAAATGAGGTTTAACCCAGGATAAAAACATCTGGGTTACAGACTGTACTAACAACTAGCTGGCTTTTAAAATTATTTACCCCAGCGTGGACTTTCTAAGCTGGTAGTACCTTGTGTGTAATTGCCCTTCTCTCCTCTTACCTCGCCTAATCACTCCTCCTGCTTGCTATAAGGAAGTTGCTTTTAGCCTCAAGTGCTGTAGCACTCTGCAAATGCAAGTATGTTTGTGCTTCATTTTGCCTTTTAATCAAGTTATTTTTTTCCCCTGTGCATATTAGATCATCATTTTCCTGGAAGAAGTTATTAGATAATGTCTATATTAGTCCAGAAGTGGAAAACCCTGTTAAAAATATTTTATTTAATGTCCTTATTGCTCGGGCTGAGCAAACGCAGTGATCTCATTCTGTCCCGATGACGTTAATTATTTTTTTCCCCCTCATTTATTCAGTTACAAGAGGAATGGACCTTTATTTTGAAAATTTTCCCCTGCCAGACAATACTGCACATAGTACTTTGATGCATGACATAAGCTTTTGCACACTATAAAGCTATTAAAGATCCAGAGTTTGAGCTCAGAGGCTTTAAAGAACCTTATGCAGGCTTCACCTTCATCTGCAAATGTATTTTAGCTTTTGCTAGACAGAACTTGTGTGTTTATAAGTCTTATACACTGAGCAGTTAGTTGTTTAAGTGGGCTCCACTGTGCTGTGAAATTAGCTTGTTTCGGGTTTTTTTTCCGAGCGTGTGTGTATTGAACTCTTTGTGGCAGTCTGAAACCATTAGCAGCTGCTCCGCTCTGCCAGAGCCTGCAACAGAAATCACTTGGTGGAAAGATTTAAGCTTCAACTTTTCTTTACTGTGCTCCCCTAAATTAGCTTTTCAGGAGGGGAAAAAAAAAAAGGAGAGAGAACTATTTTCAATTAAGTTGTGATTGGAAGCACTTGATGTGAAATATGTAGAGGAACATGTGACTTAAGGTATTTTTGCCATAAATCACTTGTTCTTTGCTTTTTTCCCCCCTCTGTTACCTTTGAATTAATCTGCTTTATGACAGGGAATTTTATCTTGAAATGACTGCAGGAGTTGTGGAAAAAGTGTTGTGATGCCTGTGCTAGCTAAGTGCTTGCCGCAGGCTTTCCTCACCGCTTCCTGTTAAGTCTTGTCTTTCGAGACATTCAAAACTCTGCAGAAACCTTTTTTTTTCTTCCTTATAAATGCCGCTGCAGGCAAAATCAGATTTTATTTGAAGGAAAAAAAAAAACAAGCAGAAAGCTCTGATGGCTCCTAGGTATCTCTCAGCCGCTTTAAGCAAAAACAAAAAAATCACCCCTGTCCTGCAGCGATGGTCTGCATTTCTCCGTTTCTGGTCTGAATTTCTCTGTTTTCGAGAATCCTGGAGATTGAATTTTGAATGTAAATGCAGTCTGATGTCAGTTGTTTAAATGTTTTCCCTTGCTAATGGTGCACGAAGAGGACAGTTAAAGTGCCTGTACTGATTCCAGTTCCACTAATGGTTTGAAGCGGAAACCTAAAACCTGGTGTAGTAATTACCGAAAGGAATGCTTGGGGGTGGGGGCGCCGGGAAAACCGAGTCTGAATCTTGGGAAAAACGTGCGATTTAGGGAAAGGCAGCTCCAGCCTCAGCCAGGGCTTGTCCTCCTTCCCTGGGACGTGGACACGGAGCGTGCTGGGCAGCCCCTGGTCCAGGGGGGCCCTCCTGGGTACCCCCACCCTGCTGGGGCCGGGCAGAGGGGCTGGACTGGGGCTGGGGTCCCGAGGAGTTGGAGCAGCATCACGGTGACAGCCCCTGCCCGCCGAGCACGCCCCAGCCCTTTTATTAATGCTTAAATCAGTAGGTGGTAGACAGTTCCTTAGAAACAGTGGAAACAGTTCAAGGTGGTATTTTTCCAAGAGGGATTAAGAGCACTCAAACAGTTAATTAAACTCCCAAAAAAAAAAAAAAAAAAAAAAAAGTCGCTATTTAGTAAAATTTGTCACAAGCCCGTGAAAGTAAAAACTGGGAGTGATTTATCCTGAAGTACTGAGCACTTCAGGAGGGTGTCTAAATGAAATGCTGGCCAGGGGCCAGAGATGACAAAACCGTCCTATTAGAGAAGACTGCTTGGCCCGGGCTGAGGCTCGGGCTCTGCAGGGGCAGTGGCACTGGGACAGTGGCACTGGGACAGCCCTGCTGCATTCCCAGGATGGTTCATAAAATGCATGTTCAATTATTTGGGGTTTTGGCCAAATTGAGCAACCCAGATGTGTCCTTGTTGTGTGACACCAATGGCTGCAGTGGTACCTTGCATCCCTAGAAAGTCTGCTCACAGCCAAGTTCTTCCTTGTCCCAAGCTCTCTATGCCCATTTTCCTTGTAATTTGCCCAGTGTACTGTAAATAGTCAGCATAATCCACCCTAAACCCATCCCTTTGATGCTTCCATGTTTAGGGTGCACAGGGCTGCTGTTGAACTTCAATGCATGTGTGGGCACTGGGATGGCTGGGTTTTGAGTTTAGTGAGTTCTGGTTTTGTAGAGAATGACTTTCTTTAAAAGAAAATACTGAAAAAAACCACTCACTTTCATTCATCAAAAGGTCCTTCTAATAATCAGTTTCACCAGATAACTCAAGTCTTAGAGAGTAATGGAATAATTTAGGTTGAAAGGGACCTTCAAGACGATCTAGTTCCAGCCCTCTGTCATAGGATGTCACTCGTGGACCATGGTTTCAGCTAAGTTCATAAACTACTACTGAAGATTTTTGTGCTAACAAGACAAGCTGCAGTGCCCCTGCATTTGGTGGAAAAGGTCCCTGCAATGGCCCTTGTCCATAATTCTGGCTCCTGTGGGTAAATGAACTGAAATCAATTTACTTTTTGTCCCGCCTACAGGTACAAAGCAGTGGCACCTGATAAATCACCTGCAGCCTGAAACTTCCTATGACATTAAGATGCAGTGCTACAACGAGGGAGGGGAGAGTGAGTACAGCAACGTGATGATCTGCGAGACCAAAGGTGAGGCTGTGGGGCCGAGCCGAGGTGGCCTTTGGGACGGGAAAGATCCACTGGGGGAATTTCTATGCAGCACAAAAGTCAGCTGCGATGATGACCACAATTTTCTGGAATGTTTCGGAGGATTGTTTTGTCTTCAGAAGCTGGGATTGTTTTGAACATATGGAAAATGATCCGTTGCACTGCTGAGGCTCTCAGCAGAGCTCTGCAGCTCTGCCTGCCCTCAGAGATAGCGCTGCTGCCTCTGCGCTGCTGATGGCCTCTCCTTAGGAGACAACCATGCGCCTGAAGATGACAGAATTGATTTGTACATCTGTTTTATGTCTTCAGGGCTCTGTGACACGTTGTATAAGTGCAGACCACAGCAATTGATGGCTGTGTTGGCTGCCTCCATCCCTAATCCTGCATGCCTCTGGCACAAAGTTTGTACTGTTCTCGGGAAGTGTCAGATATGGCAGTCACATTTATTTTGTGAAGAATTCCTGTCTCCTTTAATCTCTAAAACCAAGTAAGGCTGTAAAGGGAAAATGCAGACAGTAAACTTCAAATGCAGTGCTATGAAAAAATGTTTGAGAAAAAAAAAAGAAAAAAGCCCTCTGGGAGCGGAAGCATCAAAATTCAGTGAAGTGAGTAGTGAAACCTTTGAAGGAAGGAGTAGGAGCTGCAGGGCTTCAAGGCTGCACACACGGTTGGTCTCCCTCCTGCAAGGAATATAACTTTCTTCTCTAATTTTTAAATGGGCAAGATGTAATCTGTCATTCACACTGCCTCTTCCTTAAAATTTATCTCCCCCAGGCTCATAAGGGTGATCCGGCTTATCCAGCATACCTGCATGGAGGTGCTTGTGTCTCTCTGACCGGCTTCACTCCTAAGCCAGGCACCTCTTTTAGGGTTTTAGTGTCAAATGAAATAAATCTGAGCTGTGGTGTACTGGAAACTAATGTAAATGCAATTCCTGGGTTAAACCAGCATCTAATTTTCAGTGTTTTTCTGTTCATCTCTTCAACTGTGTGGTTTGGAAAGGGGGTTAGCAGGGTTCACATCAGATAAGAGCAGGTCATCTGGCAGAGCATGGGTGAGAGAAATGAGTGTTGTGGTTTTTCCTGACCTCAGAAGTGGAAAGATTTGTGCTCTTTCAAGTTGAGAGTTACAGCAGTTGCAGCCACGGGTACCTCGAGTGGCTCGTTAAAGTTCCAGTGACCTCAAAGAGGGGGTGAGCAGGGGGAATAATCACCATTTTCCAAGGCAAACAGTTATTACCCAATAGGAGTTGGCATTCTCATTGTCGGATTTAATACTGCCTTGGAAACATCGGGACTCAGACTCGGCAGTAATTATTTTCATGTCATGATGAAAAAACACATTTAGAAAATGCATTTAGTGGATGCACACGTGCTTGTCTCTACCCATCCAGTGAAACGCACGCCGGGAGCGTCGGAATATCCAGTGAGAGACCTGAGCACGCCACCCAACCCCCCCGAGCGGGCCGGGGGCAGCGGGGCTGTGGCTGCCAGCGGCCCCGTGCGCAGCAGTGACATGCTGTACCTCATCGTGGGCTGTGTCCTGGGCGTCATGGTCCTCATCCTCATCGTCTTCATCGCCATGTGCCTCTGGAAGAACCGGCAGCAGAACGCCATGCAGAGTGAGTGGGCGTTGCTTTCATGAGGAAAATATTAGCAGAGTAAAATTAGGAATGTCCACGCTGCGTTTTATGGATGGGCAGCAGTTTCCTGTTAGGAGCCAGCTTGCATTTCTGTAGAGGCTTGTACTTCCAGGTGTGTCTTAGGTGCAGACTTGGGTTTTTAAGAGCAGCAATATCTCAGTTTCTTCACACTGATGCTCCCTGTCCTGCTGCATCCCTGGAGGATTGTGATACAGTTTCACCCAGGGAATATTGTGGGACAGGCCTGAGCAAAGTTTCTGCAGTTTGTGTTTAACTTTAAGCCCCTGCATAGGTCTCTGATGATTGCAGAGGCAGAATGTGTGTAATCGTAATCTGTAGTTTTTCCCCCTCCACACAGCCCCCGGAAAAATCCGACTAGCTCAGAGATAAGGGGCTGTGAGGGGAGGAATACCAGGAGAGGGGAAAAATATTCAAAAGAGGCTCTTACCCCAGGGTGTTGGTTGGTACAGCTCTCTTTATTCTGTGGTGTCCATGGGAGAGCGGGGCAAAAGAGAAAGAACAGGAAGTTTCAGGGGTCTATATAGGTTTTGGACAGGGTGGGCTTTCCTGGCTCTCTGCCAGCCCCGTTGGGGCAGGAAGGAGGATCCAGGGGTTATCTTGATCAGAGTCACAGGGTCCCGGGGAAGGGGGGCACAGGGTGCCCATGAGCTCACTGTAACAGTAATCGTGTGTTAAAATTATGGAGAGTTAAACCATGGATCTCTCCCTTTCTTGAGTGCATCTGGAAAGAAAGAGAACTTGCAGCTCTAGGACAAGTCTCTTGTTACCTCTTAGTCCCTGCACAATGAGATGGCATTCAATGGCCAAGTCTTCCAGAGAGGTGTTAATAAGGAAAACCTGTTCATTAGCAAGCAGGAGCCTGGAGCAGGAGCTTTGCAAGGTGCTCTGCACCCACCAACAACCCAGAGCCAGCAGAATCTCTGCACTGGCCTTTTCTGCTCCTTGTGCATAAATCAGCCTTGCTCTTGCCACGGCCTGTGGTTATTTTTAAACTCTCCTACTCTCCTGCAGAGAGAAATGTAGGAGATAATGAAGATAGTGTCTTCAGCTGCAGCCCAGAGAGATCTTCTGGAAGCAGCTTATAGCAGATACAGCAGAGGGCTGTTGGTGATACAAAAGGCCTGGTTTTAGGACGCTCTTGTAGTGATTGACATCAGCCAGGTCCTTCCAGACCGACATTTCTGGCCTGCTCTGCAGGATGTGGCTGTTTGCCATGTCTACTTGCGTATGCTAAGCAGTTGGATATCAGAATTAGTTCACAAAAGCTGGAGAAAGAAAAAACAAGTTTCTTTATTTTTAGGGATGCTCATTTAACTTCTCATTTATCAGTAGAGGTGCTTTCATTAATAATGTCTTTTGCAGAATACGATCCTCCAGGCTACCTGTACCAAGGGGCAGAAATCAACGGGCAGATGATTGAGTACACGACCTTACCCGGGACGAGCCGAGTCAATGGCAGCGTCCACGGAAGCTTCCTCAGCAACGGCCTCAGCAACGGCTGTCCCCACGTCCATCACAAAGTTCCCAACGGTGTCAACGGGATCATGAGTGGAGGAGGAGCAGGACTGTACCCAGGGCACACCAACTCCCTGTCCAGAACACACATGGACTATGAACATCCCCATCACCTTGTGAATGTAAGGCCCTGCACGGGGTGGGAGGCTCAGCCCAGACCTTGGGGATTATTCAGAGGCTGTAGAAGCAGGCTTAATTTGTGTGGGGGAATACCCATCCATTGATAACAGCCAGTTCCACTGAATTCCTTATCCCAGAGGAAGCAACTGGGCTGATATTTGTGATGCAAACATCATGGTTTTCATTTGAGAATATCAGATGACAGCAAGAATTCCACTTACTCTGGGAAATCTGCCTCTACCCTCCTCCTAACAGCATGTAAGCTCTGAGAATGCCTCAGTGCTGGGCTGAGATACTTTACTTGTACATATGGTATTTCTCAATCTCCAAGTTAAATACATTTAATTATAGCTGCTTATTCTGCAGCTTTATGGATCACCCGTTTTTCCCCACCTGTTTCAGATCTGTAACTCTGAGCAATGCTATTAATTATGGCAAAGCACGAATGGCGCAGGAGGTTCCATGGAATGAAGTGCCCCATACATCTTGAACTGCAGCAGAGCAATAATGCTGCTTTTTTTTTTTTTCAATCCCCTGTTTGTGACTGTTGAGACAGGCTCGTTTTTTGTTTTGAAATTGAAAATAAAATTAAAAACTAATTTCAGTCTGCGATCCAGCCTTTGTATGCTGTGGAAAAATACTTCATTTGCTGAAATGTGTCCTGTTTCCAAGAGAGAATAATGATTTCATTATTGTCTATGGAAACAGATGGCTTGCATTCAAACTTACTAAACTTACTCAAAACTGTGAACATTGCCCAGGAAAACTGAAAGAAAAAGTTCAAAAGTCTGAATAACCCATGCTGTTTCTGGAGAAAAAAAACGGGTCTATTGTTTGTGTTGGTAATTGAGCACAAGCACTTCATTTTATTGAACAACAAATTAGCACTTGCACAGTAGTTGCCACTTCAGCTCCCTCAGTCTGAGCCCAGACCAGTCAGTTCTTCACCCCATTCTGCCTTTGGGCTACCCATGGAGCAAGAAGTGCCCACTTTTGGTTGTTTTCAAGAGCAACCAAGGCCCAAACTAGTTTTTTTTGACCTGTCCAACCTCCCAGTGGGTGAAACTCTCCAAAAATCTCCAAGCCCTCAGGGCAGGAACATTTGCAGTGCTCAAAAACTTGCCCTGGAGAAAGACTGGAGTTGCATTATGTTTTGTCCCTTCCATTTTTATTTTTTTGGGGGTGAAAAAAGGAAATATGTTTGTGATAACGCAGGTCTTGATGCCTGGAGCTCCTCTGTGCCTGGAGGTGTCCACCCAGCTCTGCCGTCGTGCTGGGAACAGGTGATGGGGTTGAGTTTTCCTTTCCCCACTCCCTGCTGTAGAAAGTTTGAGTTACACAATCTCTGCCCATGGAGAAGGGCTGGGACTGGCATGTGGGTGAGGCTACACGGAGGAACAGGATGTTCTGATCTTCATTAGGTCGCTCTTTATTGTTTCAATGATTGGCTTAAATGAGCAAGGGAGAAACTGGCTAGGATGGCAATCAAGACTAATTAGGCATTTCCTCAGTGCTCCGTATCCCTCAAAAACTTTAGGATAAGCTCTGTTTTTACAAAAATAGGGATTGCTAGAAGTTGCCTACCACCTGAGCTGCCAAAAGCTCGGTGAGCCTGCCCAGCCTGGCTCCCTCCTGGAGCCCAGTGCAGGAGGCTGGCTCTGCAGCCCCCTTGGAGTGGCTCCCACATCACTGTCTGCCTGGTCCCTAACAATGAGGTATGTGTTAATCTGGGCATTTCAACTGGCTTGTAATGGCCCCGTTAGCCAAAACCAACAACACAAAATCCCTCTCACCCGGAGTCATTGCTGGCTGAGGAATTACCCCATCTGTACAAATACGAAACGGTTCAAAAATCAGTGTAGTGAAGTAAACTGATCTAATCGGAGTAATTACAGGAAAGTGGGATGGGTTTGTGTGTGACATCAGCCCTGCAAATTTAATCCTCTGTCTCCCTAAACAAGCCTTGCGTGCTAATGAACAGCAATTCGCTTTCGTGTCTGTCATCAGCGTTAAAAATAAATATATTTACAGTGTGTTTATTAAATTAAACCTCAGCATATTAAGCTGAAAACAGACCAGGGAAATGACCACATACTTGTCTAAGCTGCAGTTATTTACTTTTCCCTGACACACACACTGGCAAAGCCCTCCCCTGGCCTTTGGACAATCGCTCAGTGTTACCGTGCCACGTACAGCCCAGAGCAGGGCATCGATAACGTGACCAGAGTGGGGAAACTGAGGCAAAGAGCGCTTGGGTGTCCCAACAGTGATTTGGTTAATTTGATTAATTAGTAATTGTTAATTCTTTCTGCTGCAGGGTGGTGGGATGTACACAACAGTGCCGCAGACTGACCCCTCGGAGTGCATCAGCTGCCGGAATTGTCGGAACAATAACAGGTGAGAAATGACAATAACAGGTAGAAATGACAGTAACAGGTGAGAAATGACACTAACAGGTGAGAAATTACAGTAACAGGTGAGAAATGACAAAAACAGGTGAGAAATTACAATAACAGGTAGAAATTACAATAACAGGTGAGAAATTACAGTAACAGGTGAGAAATGACAGTAACAGGTGAGAAATTACAAAAACAGGTGAGAAATGACACTAACAGGTGAGAAATTACAAAAACAGGTGAGAAATGACAAAAACAGTTGAGAAATGACAGTAACAGGTGAGAAATGACAAAAACAGGTGAGAAATGACAAAAACAGGTATGAAATGACAGTAACAGGTGAGAAATTATACCAACAGGTGAGAAATGACACTAACAGGTGAGAAATTACACTAACAGGTAGAAATGACAGTAACAGGTGAGAAATGACAATAACAGGTGAGAAATTACAAAAACAGGTGAGAAATGACAGTAACAGGTGAGAAATGACAATAACAGGTGAGAAATGACAATAACGGGTGAGAAATGACAATAACAGGTAGGAATGACCTGCCCAGAGAACAGCCCTCCCTCTGTGTGCTGGGGTGGAGCTGGGGTTGGCAAAAGATGAGAGCTGGAGTCCTGGCTAGCACAAGGAGCTCCATGGATGACCTGGAGAGCAGCTGAGGATTTTCCATAGGACAGAATAAAACAAATTGTTAAAATCCCAGAGCTCACTTTGCTCAACGTGCTCCTCTGATGCTCTCTAGGAAGTGAGGCAGGTTGGGCACTGGATTTTTTTTTTTTTAATCTGTATTTCCTGTGTTTTTTTCAGTTCTGAGATAACAAAATTATTCCATATGGAGCTTGTCAAATCGGATTTAATTGGTCTTCTATATTTTACACTTCCTGATATTCCCTTAAGAACACTAACCAACTCACTCCTTTGCCTGCACAATGCTGTTCTTTGTAAAACATGGGATTTGAAATCCTTGAGGCCTTCAGGAGATGACCAGTTGTCAGAGTGGGATGCATTTATTTCATGTGAAAAAGTATTCTTGTGTAGAATAAGGGAAAATCTGTCTTCTGCATTGTAGCTGGGAGTCGGAAACCTAATAAAAATTACTAAGTTTTCACTTTTGTAATTATTATCCTCCTTAGGCCTCTGACTAAATCTCTGATTATTTTAATGCTTAGAAATAGGACTGAAAGTCAGACAAGCTGGGCTGCTCTGACTGGTAGGTTCTGGGCTTTTTTTTCAATCATACTTTGATTTTTCAGTATTGTTAAAATCTTCAGCTGCCTTTAAGTATGCATCTGGCTAAGCTGAGTTGAAATTAATCTTTGAATCATTGAATATTCTGAGTTAGGCCCACAAGAACCATGGAGTCCAACCCCTGTTGAACAATAAAGCTGTTGTTGAAGGCAGACAACACATTCACTTTATTTTCATAGTTTTACTTTTTAAAATACCACTTATAATGAGCTTTGAATCCTTGCTTCCATAAATATGTGCATGATGGTGCAATGCTGACAAGCTGCTGCTCGCAGGTGGAGCTGGGCATGCCTTGCCTGGCCCAGTGTCCCTGGCAGGTCTCAGGAAAGCCCAGTACGTTCCCTCACACCCCAATGCTGTGATTTTCAGCAGCTCTCACCGGGATGTCTGAGACTCGTGGTAATTTAGAACACACCATATGTGTTACACTGTAATTAAGAGCTTGCTTCCAGTGTTAAACACATTTAGTGCTTTATTTGCTCTTTTTTTTTTCCATAAGAAAGCGAGGGAAAGAGTTCCATCCTCTGCAACTGCACTGCTCCTCCCAGAGGTCATCAGCAGGGCCTGAACTTTGAGTTTTCACAGCCCCATTCTATATTTGACTGCTTGATAGAGAAACAAGTTGTCCCTTACAGCTGCCTTGCCCCGGAGGGGATCATTAACCCCGGTTTGGCAGAGAGCTGCGCAGCGGGACCGCTCTGTTCCTGTCCTGCCGCTGGGGGAATGCAGAGAGGACATGGGAGAGGGGAGTGGAGAGGACCAGAACGTGCCTCAGCTTTACACCAGGGAGCTGGGTGTATGGCCAGGGTGAAGAGGAGAAGGAGGAGGAAGGCCTGTTGGGTTAGTGCAGTCAGCCCAATAGGTTTTTTGGGATAAGGCTGAAGTGTTTTTCCCATTTTGTTCAACCTCACTGCACAGGTGAGGGCTGTCCCCCTGAGCTGCCTGTCCTCATCCCAGCCTGGAATCAGTGCTGAAATCAGGCAGTTCCCCCATGGCAGCAGGGGGAGGGAGGTTCAGGTGGGCACACCTCTGGCAGGGCATGCCAGACCAGGAGTGTGGCCTTGGTGCCATGAATTCCTCACTGCCCATTTCCACCAAATGCCTGGAGCTGTTGCTGATTTGAGATGAATGCAGCAGTTTTGTGAATTGTGACCACGTGCAAATGAATCCTAAAGGTTCAGCATTATTTCATAGCTGTTTTCAGCAGCAGCCATCTCAGAGCAGGTTTTATTATTCCAGTGCTGAAATCCCTGGGTCTTCTGTTTAAATTAGCACTTTATCCCTCATAACTTCTCGTGGAGCCTTGCCAGAGGGAGAAGCTGCTGAAAACTGGAGACCTGCTTTGCTATTGTGGACAAAACCTGTGGTTGACAGGATTGAGAGTTGATCTTTTTTCTTCTCTTGTGCCTTTGTGCTAAAGCTCTCAAGATACCTGACGTTTGCAGAGGAATTTACACTTTTGCAGATCTCTCTCCTTTGCAAATTCACTGTATTTTGGTCAGAAATCTGAAATGCACAGATCAAATGTAGGAACATCAGTTTATTTTTCCAGCTTTTTAATCTAAAGTATGATTTTTTAATATTATAGTTTAGTAGGGTTTCAGTATTAAGAATTGATAGAAGATGTGTTTTCCCAGCAGGGATTTTACAAGAGTCTTCCTCCACACTCTGCTCTGGATATCCCCATGGCTAGTTTCCATCAAAATGTGGTTATTGAAGCTTAGAAGGCTGAACTGCTGTGTTGAAACATCCTTCAAGCTCTTACAATAATACAGAGAACTTCACTGACCCCTGTATCTTTAAGAAGAAACCCCAGAAATGTGCAAACTCAAACATTTAGATGGGTTTCTCTGAGCCTTTTTTTCTAAATAATAAGTGAGTACAGTCAAAACCTCTGCGGAGAGAAAGGCAAACTAATAAATGGATTTGTTTGAGGACCAGATGTGTTTCATGTGGATTCTCCAGTGGCTTCTGTGGTATTTTGGTACTTGGAATAATGATTTTAGAGGCAGTTACAGGAGTGGGAGGACAAAATAGGAGAGTGAAGGTTGAAGCTTAGTGCTGCTCCATCCTCAGAGTTTTTGGGATGGAGCAGGCTGCAGAGGGAGCCCATTTGTGCTGTTCTGGCTTTGCAGGTAAAGCATCTGCCAGAGGGAAAGCTCATTACAGTTCCTCCTCTGACAAGTTTATTTGTGTTGTTGGGGTGTTTTGTTGCTCTTTCAGTTGTGGCAGTGTTGATCCCAGGTTTTGGTCAGGTTTCAGGTTTGAACTGAGGCTCTAGGCGGGGCTTTAGGACAGGTCCCCCCAGCGTGATGGTTTTCCATATTGCCATGACTTTTTTAATGGCATAAAAGTGGTTTCTGGGACTTGGGCAGGACTTAACTGAGACTGCCAAGCTTAACATGTCCTGGTTTGAAACCCTTCTGAGCTCAGTGCTGGGCTGCTGTCGAGGTCAGCTCTGCTGGCTGCTGCCCTGGCACTGCTGCTGTCCCAGTCCATCTTTCCTCCTCTTCCAGCAATTTTTCATCTGCTCTGCTCAGGTGTGGGCCAGAATCAGTCTGGAGCAGCACATAGTGCTGCTTGCTGAGCCAGCAGCTGAGCAGGCAGGTCCAGGGATCAATTTTTATGTTTCCAAATGCCAGTCTTACACAGCCCCAGGGATGCAGATAGCAATCAGCGCTGGGCTGATCCCTGTGAGGGAAGCAGGTGAGGGATGGGTTTACATCTGGTCAGAAAAAAAAGAGAAGAAGGGTGCTCAGAGTTGTATCTGCACTCGCACATAAAGATCTGGAGCTTATTCAGCTTTCACAGGAGCATTTTGGGGTGTCACTAGAGGGTGTGAACACTTTCCATCCTTATTTCCACGTGTTTATCTGTGGATCCATCTCTATCCTGCACCAAGGAGCATCTTGGCGTGTAGTTTCTCAAAATTTCTAGTAGCTGTGCAAGTGGACCTTTAGCTTTTTGGGTAGTTATGGCTTTCTTATGTAGGAATTGTTTATATAAATGTTCCCTGAGAGCCACATTGTTCATGAGGCTGCAAACACTGAGGTGTTCTCCCTCATGCCACAATGGTATGTGTGTCAAAATCCTGCTTCTTTTTGTTTAAAGCTTAAATTCCTCAGCTGTAACAATTGATTCAGTGCTTTAATTTCAGTTCCACAGCTTTACACAGGTATTACAGGGCCACAGTCTGACTTACACTGCAGAACAGGGGGGTTAAATTTGTTATATTGCATCTATTTTTCTAATTTGCATTCACTCCAGTAACACTTAGTATTTATTTTTCAAGGTACCTAAGTGTGCTGCTTGGGTTTCAAATTTGAGCTCTTTATCTTGGCAGTGAAAACATGTTTTATGGAGTTGCTTTGATGGAGAAATGGACTCACAAGTCAGGTCATTGGGTCTCAATTGATGGGGGAAGGAACTGAGCGTGTTTTGAATGTTTTCAGCTGTCTGCTGGGACAAAGAAAACCACTCAATCCTTTTCTTAACGTCAGAATCTCTCCACAAATACATTTAAAACTGATGTGACAAACGCTCTGATCGTTGATGCGGTAAAACATTTAAAAGTTGTGTTGGGAAGAAGGCGCTGTGAGTAACTTTGGCCTCCGTCCCTCCCGCAGGTGTTTCACCAAAACCAACGGCACTTTCAGCAGCAGCACACTGCCCGTGGTGCCCCTGGGAGCCCCTTTCCAGCAGGACGCTGTGGAGATGAAGCCCCTGAGCCCGCAGGTGATGGTGGCCATGTGCCTGGCCGCGGCCAGCCCCGAGTGCAGCGCCCGGCTGGAGCAGGAGGGCCGGGAGAGCGCGGAGCAGCCCCCGGCACCGCGTCCCTGCTGCCGGGAGGATTGCATGGACGGTGAGGCATCCCACAGAGGATAGCACCTGGCTGGGAAGCTGGGAATATTCCCTAGGACATCTGTAGGGAGCTTAATTTATTGCAGAGAAGTCAGTAATTAAACCCTTGTAAGAGCAGGCTTGGAGGAAGGTGAAGCGTCCCGCCTTTCCCATCGTGGAAAGTGGGAGCAGTGCTGCTCCAGTGCCATGCCCTTGTGATTGATGCCTCTAAAATGGGCTCATTGACACACGAGGAGGCTGTGACTGATGGATGCTGCACTCACAGCACACCCACTGGCCCCAACAGGCATTTCAGAGCCATCCTAGAGGCAGGAACCGGCACAGGGAGGGACCTGGTCTCTGGTGGTGGAAGGAGAGCCTGTTCCTTGTCCCATCCTGGAATCATTGCACCTTGTGTGCTCTGCACCCACCCCGTGGCAGCAGGGGGAGGGAGGTTCAGGTGGGCACACCTCTGCCAGGGCATTCCAGACCAGGAGTGTGGCCTTGGTGCCATAAGCTCCTGAGTGATTCATTTCCACTAAATGCCTGGAGCTGTTGCTGATTTGGGGTGAATGCAGCAGTTTTGTGAATTGTGACCACGTGCAAATGAATCCTAAAGGTTCAGCATTATTTCATAGCTGTTTTCAGCAGCAGCCATCTCAGAGCAGGTTTTATTATTCAGTGCTGGGCTGATTTCCTCAGTGTGAGCTGTTCAATATAGATAGAGCCCATGCCCTGTGCTTGTGCCTGGTATGGTGGGAATGGGCCTGAGCCCAAAGAGCAACACCCACTGGAATTAAAGAGTTCTGGGGGCATGTGATTCTGTTGAGCTGACAGAGAATCTCCTGAAAACCCCGACACAACCACCCGCCCTGCTCTTGCTTTGCAGGCGGCAGCTTCCTGCACTCGGAAACATCGAACCACATTTTGAGTTGGAGTCCCCTCATTCTTCAGCCTGTTTCCAAGGACTGTAAGGAAAAACCAGGATGGAGTTCATCCGGAATCACCCTAAATGGTTCTGGGGACCTTTGTCAGCTCCAGCTGCAGGAAACCTGAGGCAGTGACCGCTGTCCCCACTAACGCCAGAACTGCACCGCAGCACCGCTGAGAGGGAGTCACGGGGGGATGTTAATTATAACAGAGAGAGTCACTATTTATTTTTTGTAGTAGTGTCATATGAATGTATCTTGGTTTCAAAATGGTTGCCTTTTTATATTATTTATGCCTTGAAATCCCTTTTTTGTTGTTGTTTTTTTTTTTCTTCCCCCCACACACCACAAAACTAGCCTGGTTATGTGTATAAGAAAGAATTGTAATAATATAAAGAATGAGGATGGGAAATGTGGATTGTGTTTCCGTGGCAATTTACCAGTGGGACAAGTGCTTCCGAGGAGCCCGAGAGAGGGATTTAAGCAGGTCTGGAATGACCAACAGCTGCCACCTCCCTGGCGGCTCAGTGACATGGCGCTTGAACCCTCCTTTCCATGAACACCTCCTGGCCTCTGCTGGTTTCTCTGAGAAGATCCCCATGAGGAAATAAGATCAATAAGAAAAATGAGCCCTGATTGAGTCTGTCCTGTGCAGCTTGAAGCAGAACTTGAGTCAGTGACTGTGTCTTTAGGTGCTCAATAACCCTTCTGCAGAAGTACAAGTGGAAATCCAGCCTGTCTCACTTTCCCACTCACAGAAGACAAAATCCAGTTCAACTCTTGATTTGAGGCATTCCTAACAGCTTGGATAGCTCTGAAATGAAATCAGTCATGGTGAAAAGCTCCCAGCAGCCCTGGCCACAACTGTCAGGAACTGCCCATCCTGGACACAGCACGATGGAGGTGCTGCAACCTTACCTACAGGGTTTGGGTGGGTGTTTTCATTTTTCCTTTCCAAATTGAATCCCAGTAAATAAACCAAACCAAACCAGTGCTTGCAAAGCACTCCACCCACCCACACGAGTCACAGTGCAAAGCCCCAGAAATGAAGCACACAGTTGACAGTGATGGCCACCCCAAGGTGACACGTACAGCCCAGAGCAGCGTGTCCCTGGCCAGTCTGGGAAGGGAGGGAGCCGTGCCAGCCTCGGCTGCAGCTGCTCCAAAACCCTGGGGAGCTCAGGGCTACTGGTGCAGCTTTGTCAGGCACATGGTTTGGGAGTGATGTCTGTGTGAGGAGGAAGTCCTTGAGATCTGCTTCAGTAGCAGCAGCTCCATGGCTGCTCTGAGTGTTGGGATGGGGTTTTTATGTTTCATAGAATCCCAGAACAGTTTGATTTGATGATTCTTAAAGCTCATCCCATTCCCCCCCTGCCATGGGCAGGGGCACCTCGACTATCCCAGACTGTGGTGGCTCTGGGCACCCTGTGCCAGGCCCTCCCCACCCTCACAGGGAAGAATTTATTCCCAATATCCCATCTAAACCTGCCCTCTGGCTGTGTGAAACCATTCTCCCCTGTCCTGTATCTGCTTGTTTAAGAAATCCCTCTCCTTCCTTTTTATAAGCCCACTTCAGGTACTTGAAGGCCACAATGAGCTCTGCCCAAACTCTTGTCTTCCATTGCATTATTTCTGGTTATATGTATTCTTTTGCCTTTTTTTTTTTTTTTAGGGTTGAGCATCCTCCTATCCAGAGCTGCCTTATTCCAAAGTTCTCTGCACACCATGGACTTCACACCCTTGTCTGCCACATACCCCAGAGCCACCACAGATCTCCCTCCTCCCTTTTTGTTTATCTCGTCCTCACAGCCTGGATTTTCCTTTTGCAGGATCTGCTGCAATGTTTTCCCCTTTTCCAACAGAGATTGGCCCACAAGTGGTTGGGATTTAACTGTGGCTGCTTTGTTTTTGCCAAACACTGAAATTTAACCATGGTTTTACATTTAAATTCAAATTTAACCTTGCTTAAATCTCCCCTGTATTGTGGGTGTGTCAGATAAAGACGCTCTGTTTTCCAGAGAAGCTGTAATATCCCTTTGGAATGTTATGTGTTTGAAGTGATGGTTTTGCAGGAGTTTGGGTAGGGTTTGTGTTTTGGGGGTGGTTTGATAAAGGGATCAGTGCTCCTTTATGGCTGCTGTGGGGATTGATACTCTGCGGGCACTGATCAAGGTTGGTTTGTGTGGCTTGATACTTCCCAGTGGGTAATTATTAACCAAATACAGGAGAAAATGGCCCCAGATGCCCTTGTCTCCACACACATCAGAAGATGAGGACTCAGGAAAGCTGGGAACTGCCTGACAGTTTCCTTGGACCCTGCTTCCCTTTGTGCTTGCACCAATGCAGGGAAAACCACCTCCAATCACTATTTTTAACCTCCTGTGGTTTGGCCTGAAATTAGGGGAGTTTGGAGGTGAAGATGAGGCTCCTTCCCACGCAAAGTTTTGTGGCTGTTTCTGTACCACAGAAACCTCAGCACAATCCCAAAGCAGCACCTCCAGCCAACGCCAGCCCTGGGAGTGCGAGCAGCGCTTCGGGCCTCGGGCTTTTTTTCTGCCATCGGTGAGAAACTATTTATTGTAGCCTAAATATTTATTTTACTCCAGCAGTAACTGCAGGCTTGTGGCTGGGCCAGAGGGGCTTTGTCGGGGCGCTGCATTCGGAGCAGCCCAGCACGGCACGGGTGGGCATGGGAAGAGGAGGAGAGGGAAATAACCAGCGAAAGGCGGAGCGGTCACGGCGTGGCTGTCACGGCGATGGTGACATTAACTGGTGGGTCCTCGGTGGTGCCTGGTGCTGCCGAGAGTGGCTCTGCAAGGGCTGGAGGAGCCGCAGGAGGGGCTGGGGCAGGGGGAAGGTGGCTCAGCCCTCGGTTTGCCCCAGTACCTGCTGCCATGCCAGGGGCACACGGGTGTCCCTGTGCTGGTGCTGCTTTGGTACCTCCTGCTGCCGTGCCGGGGGCACACGGGTGTCCCTGCGCTGGCCCTGCTGCCCCCTCCCCGCCTGTGGCTGCCTCAGCATCCTCCGCGGTGCCCACGGGCTCCTGGGCACCATGCCCGGCCCTGCAGAACACGCAGGGTCTCGCCGGTGCCCGCTGGGAGCGGAGGGGCAGAGGGATTTGGGCACTCACGTGCGGAACAGCAGGTCGTGCAGCCCTGGGGGGACAAACGGTGTGAGGTGTGGGGTCAGGGGTCCAGCTGTGCCCCCGCTGAGCCCCCTGGCACTCACTTGGCAGGGTCTCCCGGTGGCGGGCGATGCAGTGCACGGCCAGGAGGGATGCTGCGCTGGCCACCAGCATCCCCGCCACCGCCGCCCCCGTCACCGCCGGGTAGGCCTCGAAGGGAGGCTCGGCTGGAAGAGAGCAGAGGGAACATGGCAGGCAGCAGGGACGGGCAGAGCCAGAAAGGCCCGGGAAGGTGCGAGCCTGTGCCTGAAACCTACTGCCGGCTGCTCTCCTCAGCTCCACCGGGACGGAAACGCTGCCCTTGTCCACTCAACCCTCGCTCTGCCCCCACGGAGCAGCCCCTGCCCGCTTCACCTGGGGTCTGCACCTCGGAGGGGTGCCCGGCCGTGCGGTGGTTGACGGCCAGGACGCGGAAAGCATAGAGCACCGCGGGGTCCAGCCCCCCCAGCCGCCGGTCCCGGGAGTGCGGCTCGATGTCGCCGGCGGCTGTTTCCCAGGGGCTGGGGGTCTCCCGGAGCCGGAGGGGCTTCTTGGTTTGGCGCCGCTGCACCACGAAGCCGGTGAGGTTCCCGGCGCCCTGCGTCCGCCACTCCAGCCGCACCTCGGTGCGCGCCCGCGTGTACCGCAGCTTACTGATGGTGACGTTGGGCGGGGCGGGGTACCCTGGGCGAGATGGCACCCGGCAGGAGGGGCTGGATGCCCCCAGCCCACCCTTGATGCCCTCAGCCCACCCTTGATGCCCTCAGCCCACCCTTGATGCCCCCAGCCCACCCTTGATGCCCCCAGCCCACCTTCGATGCCCTCAGCCCGTTCTTGATGCCCTCAGCCCGTTCTTGATGCCCTCAACCCGCCCTTGATGCCCCCAGCCCACCCTTGATGCCTCCAGCTCACCCTTGATGCCCCCAGCCCGCCCTTGATGCCCCCAGACCACCCTTGATGCCCCCAGCCCACCTTTGATACCCTCAGCCCACCCTTGATGCCCCCAGCCCACCTTTGATGCCCCCAACCCACCCTTGATGCCCTCAGCCCACCCCCAGCCCACCTTTGATGCCCCCAGCCCGCCCTTAAAGCCCCCAGCCCGTCCTTGGTGCCTCCAGCCCGTCCTTGATGCCCTCAACCCGCCCTTGATGCCCCCAGCCCGCCCTTGATGCCCTCAGCCCACCCTTGGTGCCCCCAGCCTGCCCTTGATGCCCCCAGCCCATCCTTGATGCCCCCAGTTCACCCTTGATGCCCCCAGCCCGCCCTTGATGCCCCCAGCCCGTCCTTTCCCTTCCCGGGACTCACGGTCCACGCGGAGGCGGACCGGGCGGCTGGCGGTGCCCACGGCATTGGTGGCGGTGCAGCGGTAGATCCCGCTGTCCCCCGGCCACTCGGCATCGCGGACGGTGAGGTTGACCCACTCTTCTCCCTCCTCCAGCCCGTACTTGGCCAGCCCCGGTGTCACCTCCCGCTCCATCGGGTCGTACCACGCCACCGTGGCCCCGAGCCTGGCACTGCCGCCACGCCGCCGGCACGCCAGCTGCGCCTCGCCGCCCTCCAGCACCGCCACTTCGCTGTCCGCCTGCAGCTCGGGGACCTCTGCTCGGCGACAAGGGGGACGCTATGGTGCCACCCCCACGGCACGGCGGGGGCACCGGGGGCGGCTGCGCTTACCGAGCCGCAGGCGGCACTCGGCGGCCGCGGCCCGCAGCGGGTGCGCGGCCGCGCAGACGAACTCGCGGCCCCCGAGGCTGCGGTCGGTGCTGAGCACCAGCACGGCCGGGGAGGCCGCGGGCTCGCCCAAATCCCGGCCAGCGCTGTCCCGCCAGCGCAGGGTGACGAGCGGCGTGCCCCCGTCCCAGCGGCACCGCAGCATCACGAACTCGTCACCCTTGGTGGCCGCCGCCGCGCAGGTGGGGCTGCCGGACGGGACCCCTGTGGGATGGAGCGGTGTCACAGCGGGGCACTGCCACGCTGTGCCACAACACCCCCATGAAGGAGACACCGCAATCCCGGCCGTGCCACAGCCTCCCCCATTTCGGAGCAAGCTGGAGGTGCTGAAGGTCCCAGGAAAAGCAGCAGCACCCTGGGGCACCCATCCCATGGTTTGGGCACGGCACAGGGTCAGTGCAGCTCTGCTGCACTCAGAAAAGGGGTTGGGGGCAGATGGACCCACTGTCACTCACACAGGGTGGTCCCACATGCAGCCCCCAGTGGCAGCGCGGGGTGGGAGGCCAGGCAGGAGAAGGAGCTGCCGTTCCTGGTGCCTGCCCCTGACTGGATCCTGGTGGCCATGGAAAAGCTGGTCCCCATCAACCCCTCTTCCTCTTCCTCCTCCTCCTCCTGGGGGCCCACCCAGCGCAGCCGGGCCAGGGGGAAGCCCCCCAGCCAGCGGCACCGCAGGGCCACGTCCCGCTGATCCTCGGAGGCCAGGGCAGAGCAGCTGGGGCTCCCGGCTGGTGGATCTGCAGGAGACCACCGGCACTGGGGGAGAGCGTGGGCTCCCCGTGCCCCACCTCAGCCTGCCCCTGCCACCCTCATCCTCACCAGGAGCTGCGCGGGTCCGTCTCACCCTGTGGGGACCTGCCGGCCCCCCGCGGGGTCACTTACAGTAGACGGTGAGGACGATGGTGGCCTGGGTGCGCGTCTGCAGGTGGCTGTTCTCGGCCAGGCAGGTGTATGTGCCCGCCTGGGCACGGGCGATGGCAGTGATGACGTAGGTCTGGCCGAGGTGCACCTGGGAACCGTTGTGCAGCCAGACATAGCGGCTGGGGGGGTTGGAGGGAGCCAGGCAGCTCAGCACCACGTCCTCCCGCTCGCCCGCCGAGAAGCCCCCCTGTTCGGGGGAGAAGGGCTCCACACGGATGGCCGGCTCATCAGGGCCATCTGCGGGGACACGGGGCCCTTTAGACAGGGACAGCCCCACGGAGGGGACATAGCCCTCCCTGGGGCTTCCTCCCACCGGTGGGAAGCAGGGCAGCAAAGCCCCCTTAGAAAGGGTGCGCCATGAGGGCTGTGAGCACACCATGGCACACATCGTGGTGGCAGCGCACACGGTGGCCATGGGGACTAGAGAGGCGTTATGCCAGTGAGGTGTATGATGGCCATGAATATGCGAAAGCAACAACGAGCCATACCGTGGTGGCCACAGAAACATAGTGGTGGCCACAGACGCATCACAGTGGCAGGATATATGATTTCCATGGATGTTCCATGATAGCTATGGACATACCATGGTGGCAGGGTGCTCCGTGGCCATGGACAAACCACGGAGCATTGTGGTGGCCGTGGCATGGATGGCATCAGCCCTGAAGATGCCCCCCCAGCTGGTAGCTGAGGGCCCCCCGAGGTGGGTGGCACCCAGGGCACTCACAGACGATGTCCAGGTAGACGGGGTCGCTGGTGCGGTTGTTGACCTCGTTGCTCACGGTGCAGATGTACCAGCCCGTGTGGCTGCGGTTGGCGGGTGTCAGCTGCAGCTCTGCCCTGGAGCCCCCCGGCCCCACAGGGGTCACTGAGGGACCCCCCCGGGGCTCCTGGTGCTGCCAGGAGAAGCTCAGCGGCTCCGTCCCCTCCCGCACGGTGCACGTCAGGGCCACCGCTGCCCCCTCCGCTGCCGCCGCCGCCGTCGGCCGCACGAAGGGCTTGGAGACGGGCACTGGGGGCACCGAGTGTGAGGGCCCCCACAGACATCAGGCTGCCCCGGGGCCCACCCATCTCCCCCGCCCAGATGGATTGTTTGGCCACTGAAGTGACATAGCAGCCGGTAGAATGGCTAGTGAGGACACCTGCAGGCTCGTGAGGGGCCCTGGCTGTGGGCACAGGGACCTGCTGGGGAGCTACTGGCACCAGTTTGGGGTGGTGGGATGCTTGGGTAGCCAGGGCAAGGAAATAAGAGTAGCTTACTGGGCTGCTGTGTTGGCTTGTAGGGGGCTACACTAGTTGGAGGCAAGGGAGGTTTGCTGGCTGATGGTGTCCTGTGCTGGCTAGAGGAGCTCTGGGTTGGCTGATGAGTGCTATGTTGGCCTGTGTTGAGCTGCCTTGGCTGATGGGATGCTATATTGGCTAGTGGTGTGTTATGGTGGCTAGTAGGATGCTTTGCTGGCTAGTAGCAGGCTACGTTGGCAAGTAGGGTACTCTGCTAACTAGTGGGGTGCTTGATTGTGAATGGGATACTACAGTTACCAGTGAACCACCATGTTGGCTAGCGGGACTCTGCATTGGCTAGTAGGACACTACGCTGGCTCGTGCTATGCTTTATTGACCTGTGAAGCCCTTTGCTGGCTAGGGGGGTATTTTGTTGGCTCTGTTGGCTACTGGGCAAGGGGCTGGGCTTGACGATCTAGGAGAGCGTGATGCTGGCTACTGCTGGCCAGCAGGTCCCCCCAGGTTGGCCACAGCCAGGGACTTACCCAGGACACGCAGGAGGACGGCGGCGTAGCCCACACGGAGCCGGCCCCGCTCTGGGAAGAGCCCCTGGCAGAGGAAGCGGCCCTGGGCGGCCGCCCGCAGCTCCCGCAGCTCCAGCGTCCCGTTGCGCAGCGTCACCCGGCCCAGCGTCCCCGCGCCGGGGGCCGTGGCCACGTCCCTGCCCGAGCCCACGGCCACGGCCCGTGGGACCCCCTCTCCCTGCGGCGTGAAGCTCCAGAAGACCACGGCCGGCGGGGCGGCGGCCACTGGCCCACAGCTCAGCTCCACGGCCCGGCCTCGCACGCCCGTCGCACGCCATTCCTCGTAGGCCGCATCGCCGGCCGCCAGCGGCTGCCCTGCCGGGGAGCGCGGCCGTCAGGCCTCCCTCACCCCCACCCGGGACACGAGGGACACGAGGGACACGAGGGACACGAGGGACACGAGGGACACGAGGGACAGCTCGGTGCTCACCCCCCGCCAGCGCCGGCAGCAGCAGCAGCAGGATCCCGGGCCCGCTCCGCGGCGGCGGCAGCGCCCGGCCGCGCTCCATGGCGCCATGTCCACACGCCGAAGCAGGGCTGCGCTCTCCCGCACGATCTGCTCTCCGGTTACCCCCGGGTAATTAAGCCCAGCCCTGATTAACTGTTAATTATTCATCAACCAGCTAGCACAGGGGGAACCCGACGCCGCTGCGGCCTGGGCACCTGCAATCTCAGGGCTGAGGAGCGGTGCGCTTGCTGTGGGAATGGCAGCGTCCTTGCAGTCCCCCCACGGGGGAATTTAATCCCTCAGGGGTCCCTCCTCCACACACAATATTTTTTTGGCTAAAGGAGGGGAAAATCTGCCACTCCCCTGTGATCAAAGCTGGGGGGTTTGGAGCTGGGGAAGCCAGGCAAGAGCAAGGTTTGATATTTCATCTCCCACTGTCTGCAACTCCCCAGACCATCAAACATTCATAGGGGCGGCTGGGCCGTAACGCAATGCCAAGGGGCTGGAGCAAGCTGGGGGGATTTGGGGGTGTACTTGGTGAGGGGGATCAGGGAACACTCCTCAAAGTCTGCAAAACTACCTGTCATCTCCCATCTTCCTCACTGATCCTTTAATTAGAATTCATTGCCTGTTACCAAAATCACACGGTTAATACCAAATGTGTGTACTCTCCACAGAGAGGCTTGAAATGCCCCAGAGGGTTAAAGCTGGCAGCAAGGAAGTGCAGAGCCAGGGTCAGGTCCTGCTTCCACTGCCACACCCCTCTGGCTGCGCTCTCATCACGTTTTTGGTCACCTTTTTGCCCGTTCAGGTCGGGTTTGGGTAGAAATCTGGATGAGAGCAGAGCGCAGCAGCCAACCCAATAAATGACACCATTGTCAACACTGACCTAAATCAAACCCCACCTATGAGGGCTGATCTATTTCAGAGAGTTTTGGTAAAGAATGAGACATCCTGGTGATTACAAACAATTTCTTTATTAAAGATTAACAAAGGCACAAACACATCCCAGTCCCTGGACTCCAACTTCTGTACACACTGCCAGGGCCCCGAATACTTGGATTTCAGACCCCTGGGGTCCAACCTCTCTCCCTCACCAACAGGATCCTGAACACTTTGATTTTGGATCCCCGGGGATCCTCCAACCTCTCTCCTGCACTGCTGGACCCCAACACTTGGGTCTTGCCCCGGGATCTGGGATGGCAGCAGTGGACTCCTGCTGCCATCTAGCGAGACGAGGTTAGCTCCAGCCTCTCCTCAGGCAACACAACAGAACTCAACAGCTTCAGGAGGATACGAGAACCGGGAAGTCTTCCCCTCTAACTTTCCCTCCTGTTTAGAACTACAACTTGGGTTTGGGATAACGAATCCCTGCTTCTCACTCAGCTGCAAGCTTCTCCAGCTCGTCCATGTCGTAGGGATCCAGCTGCTTGATGGTGGTCTCTGTAAGAAGGAAAGAGCAATTGTTGGGATGCGAGTGCAGAGCTCACTGCAGCATTTCCCTCTGCAGGGAAATCAGCTGGGACAAAGCTGGGAGGGGAACTGGATCAGGGCAGCAGGCAGCAGCAGCACGCAGAGCTCAGCCTCTGGTGTGCCCCCACTCCCTGTCCCCACCTCCACGGCCACATAGGACAGGGAAGGTTTGTACCCTCCAACTGCAACATCACAACATGAAAAGCACAAGTCAGATCGCTGGGGGCTCATCCTAACACTGGATCCTTTTGCCCATGGCTGTGGTTGGGCTCACCACATGCCAGTTGTTCCAGCTGCTCGTTGCTTCTACTCCATGGCAACAATCTTTGCCAGAATGTGTTCTCTGGCTGGTGTCTGCCTCAGGCTCACTCCAGGTTCCAAGCACAGGTGAACATTTGAAGGAACCAAGAGGGTGAGTGGCTCTGAGGCCAGAGATGTGGAAGGGACACTGTTTGCTGCCCATCAGAAGGCTTCTATAACCTTCTTTCCTCTAAAAATCACAGAGAAAACAGGCACTGCGATTCCAAAAGCCATCAGTGCAGCCCTGGCATCTGGCAAATCCCATGGAAATCCTCTTGATGTTAGCAAATGACAATCAATTTCCACTCAGGAAAGATTTCCACAGCTGCCATCTCCTCTCCCACAGCCAGGGCTGAGCTGAGCTGGGGTACCAGGTCCCCTGGGACAAGCGCTTGCAAGGAAAGGCAGAAAAAATGCCTGAAAGAGGGGAAAAAAAGAAAGTGCTGAGGCATCCTGGGTACTGGTAACATCTCTTGCAAGTTGCACACAACCTCCAGGGCTGCTTCTTGGGAAATTTGCCTGCTGGGGAGCAAAAATCACCCTAAAAGCTGTATCTGTCACCTGTTCCCAGTGAGAGGAGCCCTGGGGAGAGGAGCAGCACGACAAGGACCATTTGCAAGCAGGAAATGAGCTGGAGGGGGTCACAGTCCCAACCCCGCCCCTCAGAAGGGTGGATCCGTGTGGATACTCACGGAAATACTCCTCTATCTTGCGCACCAGCTGCACGGTCTCTCTCTGCACCACGCTGAAGGCGATGCCGCGGTGCCCGAAGCGTCCCGCCCTCCCAATGCGGTGCAGGTAGGTCTCAAAATCCGGCTCGCCGTCCTCATCCACGGGGAGGCCAAAGTTCACCACGGTGGTGACCTGCTGCACATCAATGCCTGGAAGAGAGGGAAAGGATCCTCTTGGGATACCTTGTCCCACGTGGAAGAACAGCAGACCCGGCGCATTTCGGGCTGTCAGAGCTGGGTTTGCCAGGATACCTCTGGCACAGACGTTGGTGGCGATCAGGACCTTCTCCTTGCCCTCACGGAAGCGCTGGATGACGCTGGCCCGCTGCATCACTGTCAGCTCTGCTGTCAGGATGGCCACTTGGTGCCCGTCCCGGCTCATCTTCCCTGACAGCCAGTCTGCCTGCCTCCGGGTCTGCACACACGGGGACAGGCTGAGGCAAACAGCTCCCTCTCCAGAGTCCCCTGCCCCTTCTGAGGGAGCTCATGGCAGTTTTCAACACTCCCCTGGGGTCTACTCCTTTGTTTTGGGGGTCTTGGGAGGAGCCCACTGTGCCCACACCGTAAAAGGACCCATTCCTGCTATTGCCAACGGGAGAGGAGCAGTGCAGGGCTCTCCCAGGCAGGCCCCTCACCTGGCAGAAGATCATGACCTGACCGATGATGAAGCTGCTATAGAGGTTGCAGAGGGCCCTGTACTGCTCATCCGAGCTCTGGCACACCATGAAGTACTGCCTGATGTTGCTCAGGGTAAGCTCCTCCTCACGCAGCTTGATCACGATGGGGTTGGGGATGATCCGCTCTGCAAAGGTCCGCACGGGCTCCTTGTAAGTGGCTGAGAACAGCAGCACTTGGCAGCTGTTGGGAAGAGCCCTGGGGCAGGGAAAAATGGTTTAGTTGAGGTGTTAGGGCATGGGCTGGACTCGATGATTTTGAAGGTCTCTTCCAACCTGGTCATTCTGTGAAAAGCTCTGTCAGCCCCAGAGAGCAGCTGCAGTTGCACAGGAGAAGGATAGAAACCCTGATTTAAACTGATTTTGTGTTTCCTTCAGTGACAAGAAAGATTGAGAGGTACTGGAGTGAAAGGAAAAGGGGAGAATGGCTTCACTTTGAAAGAAATCAGGTTTAGATATTAGGAGGAAGTTCTCCCCTGTGAGGGTGCTGAGGCCCTGGCAGAGGTTGCTCAGAGCAGCTGTGGCTGCCCCATCCCTGGAAGTGTTCTAGGCCAAACTGGGTGGAGCTCTGAGCAACCTGGTCTAATGGAAGGTGTCCCTGTCAATGGGAAAGGGTGGGAACAAGATGGGCTTTAAGGTCCCTTCCAATTGAGGCCATTCTAGGATTCTGTGAGTCAATCCAAGGCCTGTAACAGCTCAAAGGAAAGCTAAACGAGGTCAAGTGTCTTCTGTGTGCTTGCAGTGCATGCAGTTTTACAGACAGACAGACCTGTGGACAATCCTCCCTGGCACCATGGGCACACTCTCACAGCCCTTTGGTGAGAGATTCCTTTACAGCTGAAGAAGAGAAGGGAAAGCAGGGATCAGGAGCCCAGCTCTCAGCAATCCTCACCTCTGGATGCGGATGCTCTGGCAGGAGAGGCCCTGCGTGTCGATCATGATGTCAGCCTCGTCCAGCACGAACAAGGAGATCTTGGTCAGGTCCAGGACGCGTTGTTTGAAGCACCAGTCCAGAGTGGTGCCTGGTGTTCCGATGATGATCTGCTCCTCCAGCACTGTGCCCTTCAGAACTGCAAGGGGACAAAAGGCATTTGGCTGCCTTCAGGCACGGAGCTCTCTGGTGCTGTGCTTTCCCTGGGCTTGCTCAGACTCTGGCTGCTCAGTGATGCCTTCAAGGGGTCATCATGACACTTCCCTACAGCCTTGGGGCATGGGAACCATCCCATATGAGAAAAGGAAGTTTGCAAGCAGCCAGTGATGGTGGAAAATCCTCCTCAGTATGAGAGCAGGACAGATACTACTTAATTGGCCATCATGGATGTTTGGGCAGTCCCTGGTAGCTCCAGGCTCTAAGAGGGGATCCCTGTGCTCCCTTCCCATTTCTGGAGCAGTGCCAGTCGCTGTGCTGGGCTGGACTCACCTCGGTTTCCCCGGACAGCGTAGTTCACCTTGATGTCAGTGCAGAACTTCCCGATGGCCCGCACCACCTGCCCGATCTGCAGAGCCAGCTCGTAGGTGGGAGCCAGGCAGAGGCACTGCCAGGAGAGCAGAGCAAGGAGCTGTCAGGCCTGGGATAGGGCACACCGGGCAGGGAGAGGAGCATCCCACAGCACTGAGGCACAGGGGATGGGGCAGCATGGCTGGAGGTCCAGGAGCTGGGCTGTGTTCCCAGCTCCAGACAAGGGGGCAGAAAGAAGCTGCTGCTGTTCTTTTTGAAGAGGAAATGCGTCTCTCAGAAGCGTGGTGCAGCTTGTTCCTGTGCCCTAGCTCAGTCACACTGTCCATACACACAAAAGGAGATCTTACATGGCTGGAAACAGCTGGCAAAGCTGGTTCTGCACCCAGAGAGGGGACTGGGAGTATCTGACCACCAGAAACCAGCG